ATAAACTGCAATGGTTTGTTGTCCAGGAAAGCCTCTTGTTCCCTCCAGCGTTAGTTTTAAGTTGGATATTAAACAGAGGTTGCAAATAAATGTCTGATGGGGAAGACAGCCATTTATTGTGAGTTGGGTATGCGTAAAATGCATGCATAGATAGTTGGTTCCTGATGTTTCCAGTTATTTCTTCTGCTTGTGCTAACTCATCACAGGTTTCGACGTTGGCAATGTCTGCCAAATTTGGGGAGTTGCACAGCTTTCTTGAGTTCCCTTTTCAGTTGCTGTGGTTTTCACTCGATCCCTGGCATGTGGTTTGGTAGAAGGAATTTTTGCTTTATAGCCCTTCTGAAACAGTGGAATTCTGATCGTAACGAGCGACTCAGTGGAACTTCAAAGGGCATCCCTTGGATGCGAGAGCAAAGCGTCTGTGAATACATGAAGGTGTTATTGTTTTCTCTGTAAAGAACCACTTGCCTAGGGAGTCTGCAAGTGGAAGGGTCTTGGTCGGGGAATACTTGAGTTTTTGCAGGTCAGGTGTAACTTGGTTAGATTTGGAGACCCAGTTTAATGGATCACGGAGTTCTGTGGGGCCATATGAAGTGCTGAAGATGTTTCGCACCCAACTCACCTACCCATTTTTGGTGATCTGTGTGGCCCCCCCCAGAGGTTCCCCGGGGATGTCAGATCTGCAGGCTGCTGTGGTTGCAAACGTCTCACAGGTAGGGGAGTTATAAGGGGACGGCTCTGAGTTTTTCATTTATTGCTTGAAAATCTCAGAGGATACGAGTGAATGTTTGTAACAAGGACCTCTTAACGTTGTATGGGGTCTAGGTCTTGCTTGGGTGAGGATCCTGTCTTCTAAGCCTTCAACCTTCTCCTGTTCCCTCTGAGCGGTGCATCATCTCCACAACAGTTGAAGGAGGGAGATGTTCCCCATCAACAGAGCGCTTTTGGGAGCTGCCATGTTTGCAGCTGAAAATGTTTGGGGTGGCTTGGCCTTGAAACGGACATGAAGAATTATTACCGTTCCTGAAAAATCTCCTTTTGTTGGAGGTAAAAAATATATATGCAAGAACTGGTTTGCTGTCATGAATCAGCCATGCTTCCTGCCTGTATGAACGCTCCTTGAGGTGTGGTCGGCAGGAGGCAGTCCGGATGGGTCTCCAGTTTCAGAATTTATTGTGTTCTAGATTCTGTTATTGCAGGACTGCTCCTTCATATACAGTGCTACCTCGCATAGCAATGATAATCTGTGCAGCAAAAATCGCTGCAAAGCGATTTCGTCGCTATGCGATATTAAAAAGCCCATAGGAATGCATTGAAACCCCTTCAATGTGTTCCTATGGGCTTCAGACTCACCTTTAAGTGAAAACCCTCCATACGGCGGCCATTTTCGCTGCCCGGTAAGCAAGGAATCCGTCCCAGAAAACAGCGGCGGCCATTTTTTTGCCCGGTGGCCATTTTGGAACCGCCGATCAGCTGTTAAAAAATCATCGCTTTGCGATGATCGGTAAGCGAAACAGGGTCCGAATCATCGCAAAGTGATTTTTCCCCATAGGGGCCATCGGAAAGCGATCGCAAAAGCGATTGCAAAAAGTTAATCGCTATGCGATTTCATCGTTAAACGGGGTGCCTGTTAAGCGAGGCACCACTGTAGTTTGTTTTTGTAGCTTATTCAGATGTTTTAAAGTTTCTTTTAAAATCAACTTCCCTTTTGATACATGGAGGCAACAGTGTTAACAGACAGCCTCTGTTTTACTTAATAACCCGTAAAACGGCTTTTCCATTTTCCTCTATTTTTTTTTTGTAAATGTTCATCACTTTTTATCCTAAGTGGTCTGTTTCTATGTTTTGTTTCCTGTCCTTGCTGCTTAATATTCAATAACATAACTGTTTTCTGAGCGCTTTCGGAGTTCAGGGCTTACAGCTTTGAGAATCTGGTCCGGTCCTCCCGTGCCCTGGACTTTGGAGATCATATTGAGCTTAAGATATTCAGAGGATGGGAGATCTTTGAATGACATCTGTGTTAGGAGCTTGGAGGTAGATGGATTGATGATGTGTTTTGAGCCACACACTTCTGCGCTTGGCAGACCTTTTGATCCTGCCGTTCCTCTTCGCAAGAAAAATGTCTCTGCCTTCCTGCATTTTCCTTACCGAGAACACTTATCTGATGGAACACGTCTTTTGTGCCTAAAAAGAAAATGCATTGTGTTTGTCGGCTTGCTTGATGAATTTTTGAAGGGTTAAAATGCGGCCGCTGACGGAAATAGCTGTGGCACCAGGTTGCCTGGTAGCCGGAAGGTTTGGCAGCCCGGCTTAAAGCATCTGAAATATTTGCTCAGCTTGGCCATGCCTCCCCCTAAATTTGCTGTCTAGTATCTAAGCCTTGGAAACCCCTTTTCAACTTGAGAAAGAGGGAGGGAGGGATGTAGATATTCATTGTGAAGATAAGTAGGGGAATACTTGAAAGATTAGAAACGAGGATTCCGAATGTGGGGCTCGGGGAGGCCGTGGGGGCGTCAGCCGTTCCAGAGAGGAGTGCTGCACGCAGTGGGGTGGAGTGAGAATCAACCGTAAACTGGAAAGACTTTGAGATGTCAAGCCCATAAAGGAATTAAATTCCTTTTGTGGCTGGCGTATGATCTCCTATCAAGCGCAGTAAATCTGCCGTCCCCCCACTGTTTGAGAGGATGATAGCTGCAAACCCAGAGGAAGAGGGTAATCTGCAGAACATAATAGCGGGCTGTGGGAAAAAAAGCCTTAACTAGAAAAAAAAAATAAAAAGAGAGAAGCAGCCAATATGAGAGATTGGGGGAGTAAGCCAGGTGTATGACTGTGGTGGTGACGGGGAAGAGGATGATGGCTCCTCATCTTTTCTTCCTCCCTCCCCTTGCGAAGAGGTCTTGTTTCAGTAGCAGCAGCTACTGTAACCCAGTCTAACCCTATAGCATTGCCTTGATGGAAACAGTGGCGCCCTTGTGGTCTTATTTCACCGCTTGGAGAGAGTAGAGAATAACAGTATATTGGCGGTTCGTTAATATCCAACCTTGTGAGTCTGCTGGAGCAAAAATAATTTTAAAAAGCTTCTTGTGGCTCCTAAAAGCTAATGCGTTTTATCCTGCATATACTCTTGTGGACTGCAGCACAGCTCTTCAGAAGCAAAGACTGTACTTCAAAATGCAAGATGCAAGGGAGGGGGTCTCTAGTGGTCTCGGGTGCTCCCAAAAACATCTGGTGGGGCTGCGGTGGGATACAGGAAGCTGGACTTGGTGGGCCCTTGGCTTGATCCAGCCGTAAGCTCTTCTTTCTCTAGTGGTCTCGTGTGCTCCCAAAAACATCTAGTGGGGCCGCGGTGAGATACAGGAAGCTGGACTTGGTGGGCTCTTGGCTTGATCCAGCCGTAAGCTCTTCTTTGGATCTTATGTTCTTAAGTCAGCCCCAGCCCACAAAAGCATGCGTTCGATAAAAGGACTTTGTCTTTAAGGTGCCACAAGAGACTTGCTTATGATCACGACTCTTGTGGGGGAAGCTTTGGTGTCTTTGCAACAGGGGACAATGGACTGATGTATTTACAGAGCAGCCAAAACCTCTGATTTCTCCCCCCCTCCCAATTCTGACAAGTGACACTGTCTGTTGCAATTTTGGCAGCTGGTAATTTTATTTTTTTCGCCTTGAGCTGGTGATCTCTCACTCCGACCTCCAGTTGCTGCGGCTGGTCCTCCATCCCACGGCTGGTGGCCGAAGGCATTGCTTATTGAGGAGAGAAGATTTTCGAGCACCGTCAGTCTCTTAAGTGGCTTCGAGGCAGCCCTTCGTTACGTGTTCTCAAGATACGCGAGCCTTAATGACCAACTTCAGTTTTTAGTTTAACATCAGGCCTTTCCTCCTGGTGGCTGCTTTGATTCGTGAAAGCTGGAAAACTTTGGAGTGACCTCAGCTTTCCATTTGGCAAGTGTAAATGAAACACAGTGAAGGGTGGAGTGAAACTGTCTGCAAAATTAAAAGAAAAACTGGAAAAGTCTGAGTTGCACAAGACTGCAGAATAATGAACTGTCAGAAGGGCTTCTCTGCTGTGGTTAATCTTCTCAGTGCAGAATTCCCAATAAGTTTCCATTTGGATTCCCCAGAACTAGTTTTGAAAATCGCTGTGAAAGAAAGAACCACAGAACCCACACTCCCCAGTGTTCTCTAGGTCCAGAAACTCCCTCCCTCCATGGTCTTCGTAGTAACCACTCGGCCCTGCAGCTTTCTTTTCGCCGTTCAGACACATGGACGTGTCGGCACAGGAGGGTGAACTCCATGCATGTCGTGCGGAATAGTTTTTGGGAAGGGAGGGAGGGGACTGAGCCTGGCGGCCTCACAGGACCCTGCCATGGCCTGAAAAGAGCTGCACGGACAGTATCAATTAGCTGTGTGCGCTCCAGGCCTTTGGAAATTAACAGCCTTCTAATCAGTGGATTTTTAGCCTCCTTCTTCCTTTTCTTCCTCCAGGCAAAGTATCATTAGCCTTTCAATTAAGAGGTCTTAAGATGCTTTAATTTTAATTTTATTTCAACGTATAATGAGTTTTATTTGTATTTTAATATCTCTAACTTAACTGTGTTTTAATGCCGTTGTAAAAGCTGTATCGTAAGCTGTGGCAGGTAACCATCCTGGAAAGAAAGGTGGCGTGTCAATAAGCCAAAGAAATAGATAAATAGTTTGTCATTCACAGAGGCTGAAATCCTGTTGGTTAGTGTAGTAAGTTGCAACTAGAGGAAGTGCACTGAATCAGGAAGGGGTAAGGTGAATCAGTCCCTCCATAAGTTCCATTGATCCAGTGGGCCTTCTCTAGTTACGACCTAACAGGCTGAACAACAAGATTTCAGCCCATGGTAACTACAGATGCCACAGCCAGACGGCTTCTGAAAGATGCTTGGTATATTCTAGAAGCACAGTGAACTATGTACACATTTTAACTTATTTCTTAAAAAAATTTCTCCCATCTTTTTGTCTTGCTTGTTTAGGGACGATTGGATTCTTCGCCTGCTTCTGGTTTGTTAGTAAGATTTACAGTGTCGTGAAAGTGGACTGAAGGGTTTCCGTGTGGATCGTGACCGTCTCTTTTCACTTGCTGGATTACAGATATCTATAGATCAGATATATAGATACATATATCTATAAACCATGTACTGAGGATAAACATAACATCTAAAAATAGAAACATGCTGTCTTAGCACCAAAAAGAAAACTTTAAATGGAACAAGACCTAAGGAATACGGACAATTCTGATGAACTTGACTTGAATTGCTCTTTGCAAATGCCACCCTGAAAGTTATGGTTATTCAGAGTTGAAAGAGTGAGACCAGTTTAACGACTCAAACCCGTGCGTTACAGCCACCCCAGTCGCTGAAATTTCTCCAGGAAAAAAAAAAAACTTTTTTGCACACCTATGTGATTCTGCCACCCTCTAGGACGCTCCAGAAAACTCTTAGTTATAAAAAAAGTGACATTTTAATTTAAAAGGAAAAAAAAGAGTATGATTGTACATAATATTTTGCATCATCTTTGCAGGTAGCTGGTCACCTTATATGAACATGCAAGCATTCATTGTTGAGCCCAGATTGCTGGAGAAGGGGAGTAACATCCCATCAGTTTCTTTGTTTTAAATAAAACTATATAATTCCAGCAGACTGATGCGTGGCTGTGTCGTCAGCTGTTGTCCAGTGATTTATAATGTGCACTTCTCACTTCAACAACACTGGGGTTAGGGGTGCTGGAACCCCCTGTGGTTCAAAATCCATGTATAACTCTTACAACACTAAAACCACAACTACAAAGCACAAACAGTGAATTAAAACACGTTCTCTGTCTTATGACCCCCGTTGTAGCTACTGCACTCCGTGGCATCTCCTTTTAGGGGGATTGGAGTGTATATTGAATGTTTCCAGTCAATGGGCCATTGTTTTCCATATTTGTTGGCATATTCTTGTTAGGATTTTGACAGATTCAGTCTCTGTGGCTTGAACTAGTTCTATCGGTATCTCATCTACCTTGGTGATTTAGTCCTTCCCAGTGCTTGTAGAGCAACTTTCACTTCATTGAATTCCTTTTCAAAGGAGTTTGTCATCCTTTAATCTTTTCTATATAGGTCTTCAGTATACTATCGCCACCTTCTCTTTATTTTCTCCTGGACAGATAAGATAGTATACTTCCCTTTTGGTCTTTCAGCATTCCTGATCTGAATTCCATTCCATCCAGTGTTTTTTCTCTGGTTGTGACTTGCTATGCTAAGTTACAGGGACAGGCGGATACGATGGACCAAATGAGAGATTCTGGTCTGTACAGTCTATCCGTCGTTTACTGGGATTTTAGATTGAGTTTTTCCCAGCTGAAGGAAGGAGAAGCTGAAGATTCAAGCCTTCCTCTTGCCAGGCTTGTACATCTGAAGAAGTCTGTCCTCCTCTTTTGACACCATCGAGGTTTTAAGTTGACGTACACCTCTGCAGGAGCCGGTGTAATTTATTGTGTGTTTGCAACTGGAGGAAAAACACTGAGACGTCTTACTCGCAGCACTGAAAAGCCAAGATTTATAGCAATGGCATTGCTAAGGGGGCCCCAGGGTGGTTCTTGTTTGCTATAAAAATTCAGATTAATCAGTTGGGCACACCGGCCATATTTTTGTGTTCTGTTTTTACTTCCCCCTCCTGGGCTGTTTGTCGACTGGCATCCCAATATACTGACAGGCCGTGGAGCCATTGTCAAAATGCCTTAAACTATATGGCCCAGAGATTGTATTATATATTCTTTTAACATCAAGGGAATACTCTCTCTCTCTCTCTCGGCTCAACAAATGGGCAAATAAATGTAGAAAATTGAAGCAACCATCGCAATTGTAAGTTGTGCTGGAAAGAAAGGAGGGAGCGCACACCTTACAGTCAAATTGTTCAAAATCACAGTCCAGGAGCCAAACGGATAGTTTGTCGGTAATTTTGTTTTACAGAAATCTTAGTGTCACTGTCACCCGAGGGCACCCATCACAAAATGGATAAACACACCGCCACTTTGCCTTTGATGCCAATTGCAGGGGTGGGGAATAGAGAACATTTACCTTTTTGGAGAAGACAAGGGGAAAAAAATAGAGGAGTGAATCCAGAGGTTGAAGTAGTGAGCAATTTATTCTAGCATGTTGAAGGAATAAGTTTTTTTCCCCCCACCTGGCTGTTCATGTGCAATAGCTGCGCGAGTGCGCTGTACGGTTCTCAGAGCCAGCACCATCGTTAGGCATACTGAGGCAGTTGCCACAGACAGCAGATTTTATGTGTCAGAAACAACTTTAGCAAGATATCTGATGGGCAACAGGAAGCTGCTTGGAGAGCTGCCCTTAAAAATGGCAACTTCTTTGCTTGCTCTTTCAATCACGGTAATGTAACTAAGTTACAGTCTGAAAAGCAACTTAACAAGTAATCACAGAACTACTTTTTGATGTAAGGAGCTCTGACTGAAACTGTTTATGCCATTATTTTCTTAACAGTCCGCAACGGCAAAGGAAATCCTGTTTGATTTCTTCTCTTTCAGGCATAGTATCAAAACTGACCACTAGAGGGAAGCCAAGAGCGGTTTTACTCCCAAAATAATTCTGGCGCATCTTAACAACCGCATAGGCGGATTACTTTTGCCAATAGAGAAAGGGTAGCGAGTTTTCTTAAAAACAATGTGTCCATTATGAATTACAGCATTGGTATTAACACATGCATATTCAGCCTCCCCCCTCATTAAAGCCTGCATCCTTGGGCGGGAGGAAAGGGGGGGAGGGTCTGTCCTCTTGTTCTCTTCCTTTGGATTAGCAACTGCCAAACTTCAGAAGGAGGAACTCCATTTGGAGAACAAAGGGAGCACTTCCCTCATTAGCACCATGGCCTGACTTTTCTTTCTAAGACTCTGTGGACCCCTGGCCTTTCAGATTGGCCTCCCCTCTCCCGGCACTTTTCCGTTTGCCTTTGCTCTCTGCGGTAATGACTTGCCTCATGGCAGTGGGGGAAAGTTGTCAATGAGGGTGTGAGGGTTTTATTTTTTGGCAACTGAATCACCCCGAGTTCGGAAAAGCAGAGACAGGCTTGTCAGCTGTTCAGGGAATTATGGGAAAGACATCGGGTGATTTACAATCTGTTTCCTATAAAGAGGAGCAGCTACCCAGCTTGGTATAGTAATTAGTGTTGGACTATATCTTGCTCACTGGAAGGACAAGTCATGAAGCTGAGGCTCCAATCCTTTGGCCATCTCAAGAGAAGAGAAGGCTCCCTGGAAAAGACCTTGATGTTGGGAAAGTGTGAAGTCAGGAGGAGAAGGGGACGACAGAGGAGGCGATGGCTAGACAATGTCATCGAAGCGACCAACATGAATCTGACACAACTCCGGGAGACCGTGGAAGACAGGAGGGCCTGGCGTGCTCTGGTCCATGGAGTCACGAAGAGTCGGACACGACTTAACGACTAAACAACAACAAGAACTTGGGAGACAGGTTGAAATTCTTGCATGACCATGAAGCTCACTGGCTAAATTTGGGCCAGTCGTGCAGTGTCTCAGTCTAACCCAGTGGTTTTTAACCTTGGGTCTCCAGATGTTCTTGGACTACAACTGCCAGAAGCCTTCATAACTAGCTGTGCCTGGCCAGGATTTCTGGGAGTTGCAGTCCAAGAACATCTGGGAATCCAGGTTGGAGAGCCACTGGTCTAACCAACCTCACAGGGTTGGCGAGAAGAGGCAGAGCAGGGGACAAAACCGTAAATGTTCTGTCCTTCCTCCTGGTGGCTTGTTTTCCAGCCACCTGATCCTCCTTGTTGCTCTCCTCTGAACTTGCTCCAGTTTGTTGCTGTCCTTCTTAAAATGCTGTGTCCAGAACTGGACACGGTGCTCTAGAGATGAGGCCTAACCAGAGCAATGGCAGATCCAAAACACCCTCTAGCTTGGAGACAGAGCCACAAACAATTAGGGGAGTATTAATTGACCCCCTAGGCTCAGGGGAGTTTGGCTTCAGCTGACTCTGTACCTGTTCAGCTGGCCCCCGGGGTCATGTAGGTGCACCAGAATTGTAGTCTTTTGAGTCCAGTTACTTTCCTGACACAGGCGGACACCGGGTCTGTGTTTGGAAAGAGCAAACGGGTGCTCAAAGACCCAGCGACGAAAACCTTGCTGTTACAGTGGGGTCTCGCTAGACACTTATCCCGCATGACAGTTTTTTTTGCTAGACTTTTGAGTCCAGTTACTTTCCCAACACAGGCGGACACCGGGTCTGTGCTTGGAAAGAGCAAACGGGTGTTCAAAGGCCCAGCGACGAAAGCCTTGCTGTTACAGGGGTGCCTCACTAGACAGTTACCCTGCATGACAGTTTTTTCGCTAGACAATGACTTTTTGCGATCGCTATAGCGATTTGCAAAACAGTGATTCCTATGGGGGAATTTCGCTGGACAATGTTTGGTCCCTGCTTTGCAAACCGATTTTCGCTAGATGACAATTTTGTCAGCTCCCTCCGTGCTCGCAAAACGGGTGTTTTTGGGACCTAAGCTTCGCAAGAGAGCGATTTAAACAGCTGATCGGCGGTTCGCAAAGTGGCTTTCCTATGGCCGATCTTCGCTAGACAACGACGATTCTTCCCCATTGGAACGCATTAAACAGGTTTCAATGCATTCCAATGGGGAAATGCTTTTCGCTAAACGATGATTTCGCTAAACAGCGATTTTAGTGGAACGGATTATCATCGTCTAGCGAGGCACCACTGTATTTCTTTTTAAAAAAATGAAATTACTGATATTAGGAGTTAATTTATGATACTACCAGGTGTTTTCCCGGTCTGATTTTCATGTCTTCCTGGCCCTATTTGACGGGAATGGGTGTCATTTTCATACTTAGCATGTATAACAGTATAATCCCTCTGGGGACGGAGATGAGCTCTGTCGTTACAGCCGTTTTACAAAGGAACTGGAAAACATCTTTTTAAAGCAGCGCTTGTTAAAAATGGCTAATTCTTTACTGAGAAATTGCAGGGAAGGGGGAGGGGAAGAGCCCTGCCATTTGCACACACAACTTGGCTTTCCCGTTTCACCTGCAGCAGAAGCCGGTAAAGCTGAGCGTGTGACATAATTTCTACAGCAGCCTGCTGTGATTTCATAAATGCAGGAGGGTGATTATAGCGTAGGATCAAGGTGAAGCCGGATTGTGGAGCTAAAAAGAGGCCCTATTCATATGCAAATTTTCCAGTAATCGCAAAAATAATGCCACAAATTACAGGCAATTTCTTTGATTTGTGAATAAGAACATTCCCATTCAACTTCTTCCTCTGGTCTAAGAGCCCTTAATATATATATATATTAAGGGCTCTTAGACTGGAGGGATAGATGTATATGTATAAAACAGGAGACATGGAGTAATATGCGTGTGTTGGGGGAGAAATAGACAGTAATAAAGCAATTTTTAAAAAAATGCCAAGGGAATAAAATGAATTTGTGGATCAGAGATCAGAATGGCCTCCCGTGGAAAATGGCTGGTGTAGCGGACGGAGTGATGGACTGGATCTCCGGAGACCTGGGTTCAAATCCTTGCTCAGCCATGGAATCTCACCAAGAGGTGAAACTGGTTAAAGTACTTCTGAAATAGCTCAGATAGAGAGAATCATAAAATAGTGGAGTTGGAAGGG